TCCTTCCCAGCATTTGGGATAAGTCCTGGGCCACCCTCCACCCTGGAGGTCCTCCTTAACTGCTTACACTAGCCCACACATTCTGTATTCTTGTTTCCCTTGGGAAAAAAAGACTGTCGCTTCTTAGACTGTTCCTTCTTCACTTCTGGGGGGAAGAGGAGAGCTGAAGTTCTCAGGAATTTGGTTGCTGGAGCTGTAAGAAGACAAAAGCTGAGACGACACAAGATGGATGACATCTTTAAAGTCTCAGAGCAAGGGCCCGTGAGATGGCTCAGTGGGTAAAGATGTTGAACCCTATGACCCGAGTTTGTTCCCCAGGACCCAGTTGGTGGAAGGAGAGAACTGACCCCCTACAAGGTGCTCTCTGACTTCTGTGGGTACATACCCACAGGCGTAAACACACACATGCTAACCAACTAACCAACCAACCAACCGACTAACCAACCAACTAACCAGCCAACCAACTAACCAACCAACCGACTAACCAACCAACTAACCAACCAACCAACCAACCAACCAACCAACCAACCAACCAACCAACTAAGCAACTACCTACCTACCTACCTGACTGACTGAGGGTAATAAAAAAGTTACAGGACAGTCATTCTTCCTAAATACAAAAGGGGAGCTGGGAACTTTCCTCTGGTCTCCTCCTTACCTCTTTTGCTCTAAGCTAAACCTCACCTTGCTTCATTTTGTTTGTAGCAGTTACTGAGACTTTGCTCCTGAGCCCTCCAGATTCAGTAGATGGCGACAAAGGCACACAGAGACTATGAGGCAGGCTGGGGCTGACACTCAGGCTCTCTAAGGACAGCACTTGCTCCAGGCCACTGTCTCTGGCCCTCTCCTCCTCACACCTGCCAGTTTCAGTTCATCTACAGTTATACCAGAATTGGATATTTAGTAAATGATGCGTCCGAGCAATAGAGAGTGGAAAGATGAATTTAGTTAAAGGTGTTTAAAATGATCTTACACCACAGTTTACAGTAACACACACACACACACACACACACACACACACACACACACACACACACACATCACAGATGAACTAAAGAGTGGTCTTTAAAGTAGATAGAGTGAAAAGAAGAAACAGAAAGAAAACGGAATATTACCAAATCTTTCCTGTGATAAGAACTGTTTAATGGGAGTTGGGGATTTAGCTAAGTGGTAGAGCATTTGCCTAGCAAGTGCAAGGTCCTGGGTTCGGTCCTCAGCTCTGGGGGTGGGGGGTGGGGTAGAGGGTTGTTTAATGCTCGGAAGTAAAGAAAAGGTTAACAGAGCTGATTACATGAACTCTAAAATTTCTGTACACCTAAAACCCGGACAAAGAAGTCGAAGGATGTGCTGCACAGTGTGGGAGAAGTCACAGCGCGGTGGCACGTGCTCACACAAGCTGGTTGAGGAGGCGTTCGTAGGGGATGGCATGCAGCTGAGTGGTCGAGACGTTGCCTTGCACCGGTGAGGGCCTGGGTTTGAGTCTCAGCACCGTAGAGGGTGAAAGACAACCTCCAGACTAAACCAACCAGACCTTCTATGAGCTGGGCATGCTGCTACACCAGTGCAATCCCAGTTTGGTGGAGGCTGAGGCAGGAGGAACGCTCTGACTCTGAGGCAGCTTGAGCTACATACTAAGGCTCTGTGTCAAAAACAAACAAACAAACAAACAAAACCTAAATGGCGGCTCTTGCTTGTAATCCCAGGACTTGGGAGGTGGCAATTACAGGATCCGAAGTTCAAGGCCATCTTGAACCCATCACAGTAGGCTTGAGGCCAGGCTGGGTTACATGAAACCCATTCTCAAAATGACCCCCCCCACAACAAAACCCAAACCAAAACAAATCAAATAAATAAAAATGCAGAAGGAACCCATTGTGATACTCAGTAAGTTAACCAACAGAGAACACTTACAGATGGAGATACTTAGTGAGGAAATAAGAGATAGCCCTCTCAATAAAATGTATAATTTATTAATGACTGGGGAACGAAAACCATTTATTTTGCTCACAGAATATCACAACAACATCTTCCGTTGTTGAGACAGAGTCTCACTATGTAGCTCTGGCTGTCCTGGAACTCACTATGTAGATCAGGCTGTATTCAAACTCACAAAAACCCTCCTGCCTCCGTCTCCCAAGGGCTGGGATTAAAGGCTTGAACCACAGTGCTCTAAAGAATGAGAATACCCAAAGCTGGCATGAGTAATTCAGCAAGGCTTGCTTATTTGTTTATCGTTTGTTGTGCTGAGGACCCAGGCCCCTGCAAATGCTAGGCAGGTGCTCTGTTACAGAGCTACACCCTCAGCCTGCGAGAGGTCCTTCTTGTGCACACTAACACCTTATTGGGGGGCAGCATGGCATCTTGTAATGTTGGTATGTGTATTAAAAGATTTTTAAAAAGGGGTTGACGAGAGGGCTCAGTGGTTTAGAGAGCATACCGCTCTTCCAGAGGACTGACAGTGGGCAGGTCACAACTGCCTGTAACTCCATCTCTGGAGGGTCTGACATCCTCTTCTGGCCTTCTCAGACTCCTGTATACACGTAGCACACGCAAATGCTCACACAAACAAAAATAAAAACATTTTTTTTTCTTTTTTTTTTAAGACTTAAAAGTGTTTGGGCAGGCTGGAGAAATGGTTCCGTGGTTAAGATCTTGCACTTGTTGCTTTCCCAGAGGACCCAGGTTTGGTTTCCGGTACCCACATGGTGGCTTATCACCATCCATCCTTCTGGTTCCAGGGGATCTGATGCTCTCTTCTGGCCTAAGAGGGCATTCATATATGTGCCTCATACACATACACAAATAAAAATAAGCCTTAAAAAAAGATTAAAGCAGGCACAGTGGCACATGCCTTTAATTCCTGCACTTGGGAGGCAGAGGTAGGTGGATCTCTGAGTTTGAGTCCAGCCTGGTCTACAGAGTGAGTTTCAGGATAGCTGGGGCCACACAGAAACTCTGTCTCAAAAACCAAAAGGACAAAAGTTTAGCTTTCAAGTCCCAATAATTTGTATCTGGGAACATATCATAATAGAATGATACTTTTAGAAAAGCTATCTGCCTAAGGACATTTTAATATTAATTTAAAATCAATATATGAGAAAAATCTGTTGAGAATATAAAATAATATTTTAAAGTGGAAATAAGCTAAAAAAAACAACAGAGAAACAATTGCACATATCTTGGTTGTATCCACTTGATGGATTGTCAATGTATATACTTTAAATGATGATCATAAACACTAGCAAACGACAGAGTTGGAACAGAAGCATCTCAGGTGAAGGATGATTTTGCCTCTTTTTTTTTTTTTTTTGGTTTTTCAAGACAGGATTTCTCTGTGTAGTTTTGGTGCCTGTCCTGGATCTTGCTTTGTAGACCAGGCTGGCCTTGAACTCACAGAGATCTGCCTGCTTCTGCCTCCCGAGGGCTGGGACTAAAGGCGTGCACCACCACTGACTGGCAATTTCCTCCATTTTAAAAGAATAAACAGATTCTTCAGAATTCGAGTTGCTTTTTTTCCCTGTAGTCTCCAAAGAGTTTGTGTGTGAGTGTGTGTGTTCATGTACACAAGTGCTCACAAGTGTGCATGTGCATATGAAAACGAGGGAGAAAAGAAGAGCTAGGGAGTGAGAAGTTGTTTAGAATTGAATGGAACTACAACAACAACAACAAACAAACAAACAAAAAAAACCCAAAAAACCCAGGACAGGATCTTGGAATGTTTGCTGTGTCAGGATGGGGAGACTAGAAGCAGACCATCCCTGCCATCTGTGAATTGACAATCTGGCAGCTAAAGGAGATTATGTGCAGGGGATTATGCTATGCATTGTAAATTTCAGAGAAGGATGTCTAAGTGAAGGCCTTCTGGGAGAGGTGAGGACTGGGGTAGCCACTGAAGGCCTTCTGGGAGAGGTGAGGACTGGGGTAGCCACTGAAGGCCTTCTGGGAG